ATGGTCCCAGGGTCCTGGGATCCAGTCCCGCCTCGGGCTCCCTGCTCAGGTGGGAAGCCTGCTTCTCCCTCTGCCTGCCGCTCCCCCTGCTTGTGCTCTGTCTGACAGGTAAATAAATAAAATCTTTAAAAAAAAATACAGATTCTAATTCAGAAAAGGTGGGTTGGGACTGAAATGAAGCATTTCTAACAAACTCCCAGGTGGTACCACTGCTGCCAGCACAAGGACCCGCAAGGTACAACACACACTGGGTGCCCGGCTTTGCCGAATGCTGCTGTATTCTGACAGGAATGATCTGTGTCCTATACAACTTCACATAGTAAGATCCAATCCTTGCTCGTTGCGCAGTAGTGCTAGCGGCTTCCCTATTCCGTTCTCGGAACCGGCAGCACTCCCTCGTGCTGAGCTGCTACGAAGCCCCTGCCGGCGAGCTCGTAGGAGCTTGGAACCGTCGTCACCCCTCCGTGTCTCACCAAGGGGGGGAAAATGGTTGAAGCAGATCGCCCAGGAAAGCTTTTCATTGGTGGCCTCAATACAGAAACAAATGAAAAAGCCCTTGAAGCAGTATTTGGCAAATATGGGCGAATAGTGGAAGTTCTATTGATGAAAGATCGTGAAACCAACAAACCGAGAGGATTTGCTTTTGTCACCTTTGAGAGCCCAGCAGATGCTAAGGATGCAGCCAGAGACATGAGTGGAAAGTCCTTAGATGGAAAAGCCCTCAAAGTAGAACGGGCCACTAAACCATCATTTGAAAGTGGTAGACGTGGACCACCTTCACCTCCAAGAATCAGAGGCCCTCCAAGAGGTCTTAGAGGTGGAAGAGGAGGAAGTGGAGGAAACAGGGGACTCCGTCACGTGGAGGGCACATGGATGATGGTGGCTATTCCATGAATTTTAACATGAGTTCTTCCAGGGGACCACTTCCAGAAAAAAGAGGACCACCACCACGAAGTGGTGGTCCTCCTCCTAAAAGATCTGCCCCTTCAGGACCAGTTCGCAGCAGCAGTGGAACGGGAGGAAGAGCTCCTGTGTCACGCGGAAGAGATAGTTATGGAGGCCCACCTCGACGGGAACCCCTGCCCTCTCGTAGAGATGTTTATTTGTCCCCAAGAGATGATGGATACTCTACTAAAGACAGCTATTCAAGCAGAGATTACCCAAGTTCTCGTGATACAAGAGATTATGCACCACCACCAAGAGATTATACTTACCGTGATTATGGTCATTCCAGTTCACGTGATGACTACCCATCGAGAGGCTATAGTGATAGAGATGGCTATGGTCGTGATCGTGACTATTCAGATCATCCAAGTGGAGGTTCCTACAGAGATTCATATGAGAGTTAGGGTAACTCACGTAGTGCTCCACCTACACGAGGGCCTCCGCCATCTTATGGTGGAAGCAGTCGCTATGATAATTACAGCAGCTCACGTGATGGATATGGTGGAAGTCGAGACTGTTACTCAAGCAGCCGAAGTGATCTCTACTCAAGTGGTCGTGATCGGGTTGGCAGACAAGAAAGAGGGCTTCCCCCTTCTATGGAAAGGGGGTACCCTCCTCCACGTGATTCCTACAGCAGTTCAAGCCGCGGAGCACCAAGAGGTGGTGGCCATGGAGGAAGCCAATCTGATAGAGGGGGAGTCAGAAGCAGATATTAAAAACAAAACTTTGGACCAAAATCCCTGTTCAAAGAAACAAACAAAAAAGTGGAACCTTTTCTGTCATAACTACCCAAGGACTACTAAAAGGAAAAATTGTGTTACTTTTTTTTTTAAATTTCCTGTTAAGTTCCCCTTCCATAATTTTTATGTTCTTGTGAGGGAAAAAAAAGTAAAACCTGTTTAATCTTATTTGACTTTATGACATTGCTTTCAATAAGCAAATGTTAAATGTGTTAAGACTTGACTTGTGTACTAGTGTTGTAATTTTTCAAGTTAAAAGTGTCCCTAAAGGCCACTTCCTATATCTGATTTTTCCCAGTAAATGAGGCAAAGCAATTCTAAGACCTTCCACAAACATCTAGCCATCTAAAATGGAGAGGTGAATCCTTCTGCCTATACAAACAAGCTAGCTATTAGAGGGTGGTCGGGGTATGCTACTCTAGGATTTCAGAGTGTCTTCAACTGAAATCTCAATGTTCTCAGTATGAAAAACCTGAGATCAGATGCTTATGTAAGGAAAGTGCTATTCACCCAGTAAACCCAAAAAAGCAAATGGATAATGCTGGCCATATTTTGCCTTTCTGACATTTCCTTGGGAATCTACAAGAACCTCCCCTTTCCCCTCCCCCAATAAGACCATTTAAGTGTGTGTTAAGCAACTACAGAATACTAAATAAAAAGTTTGACCAAAACCAAAAAAAAAAAAATCCAATTTTTTTTTTTTACAGAAGGAAAAATGAACCTGACTCTACAGTTAGCACAAGAAAATGATGAACTAAGTACATACATTTTACTGTTCATAAAGAGAAAAATGTAGCAAAAACTCCATTTTAAAATTCCTCATTACTAATGAAAGGATAAATGTTCACACACCTACCTATAAATAACATGGAATGCTTTCGTGCAAATTTCAGGCCTTCGTTTCTATCGACTTCACGATTTTCCTAAAAGGTAAATATAAGGATTAAGAAAAGCTACCAAAATACAGTCAAAATGCCAAGTGTCTGACTTCTTACCTTACCAATTTTATTTCCAACCAGCATGTTTACTACGTCATTTCTCGTGCAGTATGTTTTCAATTCATTTAACCAATTATCCAATTTGACAAAGGTATCTCTTCTTGTGACATCATAAACTGAAATAAAAAGGGTCACTTATTAAATAAGCATTAAAAATAAGAGCAATGGCATTATATTTCTGATATGTCACTACAAGCTAATATTTCTATAGAGGCAAGTCTGTTTCTAAGCCTTCAAATGCTTAACAATCAGTATCTA